TGAAATGTTTACTAAACACATAAAACTGGCAATGGAGATATTCCCTTGTTACCACTATTCATCCATTGGGGTGGGCCCGAGGTTTGCCAAACACTCCTTTGTTCTTGTTTTTGTTCTTCTTTTTTTAAATTATTATTTTTGAAACTCAACAGCAGAGAGTTGAGTTAGTTTTTCTTCTCTCTATTATTTATCTATACTTAGTTCAAGGCACAGCATCATTATCTGTATCAGCACAAGCAAGGACCCTTCTTGTTTAATGCCTATATTAGTTTTTATATTTCTATAGTCCCACTTATCTCCTCTCGTAGACAGTTACTCAGATAAATTTGATATGTATATTTGAATCCCTATGTATCCTCATAAAATATTGCAGATTGTTTTGTTGTGTGTTTACTTTTTACTTTTTAAGTCTGAAGTGATTTCATATTTACAGAAATATTACTATAGTAGAAAGATTTACCATGTGTTTGTCACCCAGATTCAAAAATAGTAAAGATTTTACAACACTTGTTTTATCTTTCTCTATTTATATGTCCATAAATATTTTTCTGATCTCTTTGAGAGTAAGCTGTAGACATTATATCCTTTTTTCCTAAACATTTTAGCATGTATTTCCTAAGAACAAAGGATATTCTCTATATAGCTGTCATACAATGGTCAAATTAGAAAGTTTGATATTGATACACTACTATTATCTAGTATACAGTTCATACTCCAATTTCATTTATTGTCGCCAGCAATGTTTGTTTTCTGTAGCATTTTTTTTCTCCCTAATCCAGTTTCCACTGCATTTACTTGTTATCTTTTGAGTGTTTAATCTGGACTAATTCTTCAGACTTTTTTGTTATTCAAGATTGTATATGTAACTTTTGTTTACTTATATGGTGTAGCGCTACAGATCTTGCTCCCTTTCTTAACTATATATTTTTTACTCTTTTTAAGATCCACTCATATAGGCCAGATGTGGGGGCTCATGCCTACAATTCCAGCACTTTGGGAGGCCAAGATGGGAGGATCACTTGAGCCCAGAGTTTGAGATCAGCCTTGGTAACATAGTGAGACCCCATTTTTATGAAAAATTTAAAAATTTGCCAGGTTTGGTGTTGCACACCTGTGGTCCCAGCGACTTGGGATAATGAAGTGGGAGGATTGCTTGAGCACAGGAGGTCGAGGCTGCAGTGAGCCGTGATTGTGTCACTGCACTCCAGCCCGGGTGACAGAGCCAGACCCGGCCCCGTTGCCCCAAAAAAGATCCACTCATATTAATGTGTAGACATCTATCTTGTTTGTTACTTCTAACTTCTGCTTAGTATTGCACAATATACATCTGCCAAAAAAGAAATATATTTTATACTACAGCCTGAACATCCTATTAAAGGGATCTTTTGAAGCTGATGTCATGAATGTCAGTTGTAAACTTACATTGTACTTTGTGTCACTGTAAGTGAACTATTTGACATTGCCAGATCATTTCTGGGATTTCTTATGTTTGAAATATAGGTTACAGAAGTATATATTCTCTTAAATGACTAAAACCTAAATCCTTGAGACAACTATCCACAGCTGACAGCTAAACTATAGATATTATTAATAGAAATAAAACTCAGGATTTTCTCCTTCAGTACTTGAGTTCATTGGTTTTAAAATCTGTTGGCTTACATACATCTGAAAGGATTTTTTAAAATCATGTACCTTATTGTGTATTTTTCAGTTGATGTCTAAAATTTTTCCTTTTATGTCTAAGTAATTGCAAAGGATAGAATTTCCAGTGTTGCAAATATTGTTATTTAAAAATAGAATTGATATATCCCTCTCTTAATTATATGCAGTTTAATCTAAATGCCATAGCAATTAGGTAACTATCATTATGCATTTAAAAAATACATCAACAGGTTCTGTAGTCAAAATTTACATCATTTTCCCCTCTTTTAATTCAATGTGCTCATTCCCCTTTAGAACTTTATCTTAATGTATGTTTTAATATATCCTAATATATTTTAAAATATATTTTATGCTTGAGTATTTTAAAATTATACACTGTATTATATATCTCTACAGCAAAAACATGTATATTAACATTTATTAATTTGTTTCTATGATCAGAAAGAAAATAAAAATTTCTTCCAGATTTGATGTTCATTACATTACAATAATTATTAGTTTCAGTGATTGTTTGGAAGAACATATACATATTACAAATTTTGATAAATAATTAAATACATAAGTAAAGTTTTTATTAGAAGATGTTGTTAATTGGATGTATTTTTTCAATTGTTGCATTTATGTATGTAGTGCTATAACGAGGCAGGTTTTCAGCATCAATTCAATTTCTATAGATGTGAATGCTGAGAAAATTTGCCCACATAAGAAGTAGACAGGGATAAAAGGAATTTATTATAGAAATATCACTCAACTCTTTGAACTCCTTTTGAATTATTTGTCAAAATATAACCATGGGAATCTGTCATCAAAGAATAGTTTTAACCATTTATCAGCTGGTTATTTGATTATGTGCTCCTGCAAACCTGATAAAAGTGAGGAATTGGAAACTACCTGATATGGTTTAATTAAAATCAATCATCAAAAGTTATTCTCTTAACATTGACACAAATGTTCAATTGCCTCTTTTCTTGGCATCATGTTTTTATACTCCAAGGCAATGCACTATTATAAAATTATAGATAGGTGAAAGATATGCCTTTCTTTGTAAGACAGGAGATAGAATTTTGAAAGTAGGAGCTTGATTTGTTTTTAGAAAAGAGTGCATAAGGAGTCAAGAATCTCGAAATTGATGCTCTTAAAGCCATCTGAGCCTGTCTACATACCTATGTTAACATGAAACAGGGATACGTATAAAATTGCCGCTAAAAGGAAATAGTATTTTTAAAGCTATCATTACTTAAAAAGAATCATAGTGTTATTAACACAGTAGCGTCAACGTTTCAGAGAAATAAGGAATATTACCCATTTACACTACTGAGGTCTTTATGTAAATCCATAGTTGATTATTTTGACAGAATGTACGTCTGATTCAACACACTTGAAACTTCACCTTCATATTCCTTGAAGACCATTCACAGAGACTTACTCCACTGTGTTGAGGTCGGCCTAGAATACTAAATATTGGTGTTCTTGGAAGGTTATTTGATGTTTTAATTTAGGGCTCTGGATACTGTCATACACTTCTCTTTCTTTGCTTATTTTTGTTCCTCCACCTGAATTACTAGCTCTTCCTAATATGTGTGTATGCACATATATGGGGCTGGGAGGAAAAAATATATATAATATTTTA